CATGTCCATCTTACACAGATGACCTGAAGATGAGTTTATACAGTTAAAATAATTTTGTTCATTGTGACTGCAGCTTTTCAAATGAAGTTAGGTGTGAGATTTTCCACCTGTAGGATCATAGTTGCTCAAAACACTGTGAATTTTAGAGCATTTCAGGTTTCAGGTTATTATCCTATATACAGATGAGATCCGGTGCATTCAGGGTGATATGGCCGTAGATTCATCCTATATATAGAGATGAGTAGCATCAAAATTTATTTTGATAATACACTACGATGTACTGGTTTGAAAAGCACTTTTGTTTTTTGAGAACTTTTGGTAAATGAGTTGTAGGATAGAATATAATCTCTTTAAACAAATACTGCCCTTAAGGGCAGTTGCTAGTATCTAGTTTTTTAATTTTAATTTTTTAAGGACTTAGAAATATGAATCTGGTTAAACATAGCCCGCTTTTCCTCATATTTTATGTCATAAGGTTTTATATTCCTGCACTTAACTGTGTGTGTATGTTTGCATATTCATGCAGGCCTGTGTGTGTGTGTGTGTGTGTGTGTGTGTTGGGGATTTGGGGCTCATTTTAAGTATTTCTGTTCCATGTATGCATGTGTATTTCATGCTTGAGATTTATTAGCTTGAAATAGACCAAAAGCTATCGCCTGGGTTTTGTTGTTTTTTTTTTTTTTAATTTTTCCTGCTTTAAAGTATACTGAACAGTCCAAGGTTTAGCGTTTTACAGAGCCTGCCACCACCTTCCTTCACATTTTAATAATCAGAAGGCAGGTTTAAAATAACTAAAATTGAATATTAAAAGCTACCTTTTATGTCTTAAAACTAACTTTCTATAGTTATTTAGCTAAATTAATTTTTTCCTGTAAATATATTTATTTTTATATAAGCTGCTTTCCATGTTTGCTTGGAATCCTAGCACAGTGTAGTTGAGCCAGAAGACCTTTAATGGGATTGAGCTAGATGAAGTGTAACTGTTGGCAACAAATCGAAACAACTTTGGAGCTTGAAAAATCTCTGGTGGTTTGGGGATAGTAAATGACTCAACTGTATGAGGTGAGGTAATTCCCGACACAGGGCATTAATAATATGAAATGTACTTTGATGACTAATTAAAGTTTTTGAATAGTGGTATTAAGGTGTTATACCAAATGGCATATCGAATGTCCATGGAGTGCCATAAAGATAATTCAGTCATCGTAACTCATGAAAAATTTAATTTTATGACTAGCTCAAAACACACTGTTGGAAATTCTATGCTCTGAAGATCTTTGTGTATTTGAATTTGCATATGATTAGGACACTTAATATGGGTAATCTTAGAACATGGTGAATTATAACACAAAGAATGGGATGTAACTTGATGGAATTAGTTCATTTCTTATTGGGAAGGAGGACCTTTTGGTGGGTAGAGTTGAGAAAATAGTTATTGGTCTGTTGTGAATGCCTGGCAGAGTCACTTCTCAGTCAGGCTTAACTGTTAGAACCATTGGGAGTTTTAAGACAAAAAAATCTGAAACAGTTTGAACCAGAGTCATGAGGCTAGGGCACTGGCACCATAGATACTAAAAGCTCCACAGGGGCTGGGGATTTAGCTCAGTGGAGCTGCCACCTGCCTCAAAAGTGCAAGGTTCTGAGTTTGATCCCTGGTACCAAAAAAGAAAGCTCCACAGGGATTCTCAAACCTGAAGACTGCTGGTTTGAAAAATGGACCCTAGGAGTGTTTGAATTGGGAGAGCCTGAGTGCAGATTATTGTACTTTCACCTGCATTGTACTGTAAAATGTATGAGGGTGGGAATTTTGCCTTTTTAAAATCTTAAAAATTTACTTATTTATTTATTTATGGTCCTTGGGATCAAACTCACGTCTTTGTGCTTGTGAGGCAGGTGTCAGAACCACTTAGCTAAATCTCCTGCCCAAGTTTTGCCTTTTTAAAGAAGTGTAGCTCCTTTCCCCTAGGCCTTCTAGAGCTTAGACATGTAGAATACTGTTTGATTTTGGGAGAAACATTCTTGCATTTTGTACCCAGAACAATTTATGATGAAAAATTATTTTTTCTCATGGAGGTAGTATTTCTACCATTTGGATACTTTGTTTTAACAATAGTCTCCTTGAGATACCAAGGAGTTGGGTGGTTTTAGTATATTCACAGAGTTCTGCAGATATGGCTGCGATCAATCGTAGAACATTTCTGTCACTGCAGAAAGAACTCTGTACCTGTTGGCAGTCACTATCTGTTCCCCCAGCCTGCCCAGCCCTAGGCAACCATTAATCTACTTCCTCTACCTGTACGTTCGGGACATTTCATAAGATGTGGAATCGCATCATAATGTGTTGTCTTTTGTGATTGGCTTCTTTGACTTTAACATACTGTTTTTAAGGTTCACCCATGTCACAGCATGTATTAGTACTTAATTTCTTTTTAGGCTGAGGAATTTTCCACTGTGTAGATAATAGCACATTTTATTTTGTCCTAGTTGGTGGATGTTTGGGGTTGGGATGGTTCCACCTTTTGGCTGTTAGAAATAGTGTTACAAACATTAGTTACAAGTTTCGTGTGGGCGGCTTTCACCTCTGTTGGGTGTACACTGGTAGAGAAATTACTGGGTCCCTGTTCTTGGGTACTTTGCCTCATTTGAACTTCAGGGTTAAAATGTCTTCTGGTACGGCCAAGGAACACCAGCGGTCTGTGTTCTTGTAATCTTACATTGTAGGACAAGAGGTCCACTGTGTGCTATTTGATCTGCTGGTTCTCAGAAGACTTATACAAAGGGATAGCTGTTTTTCTTTGCTTTATTCTTGAGAAGTTGGAATTTAAAGATAGTTTTAAAGTCTCGTCCTTCATCCCTTGTCATCAGAGAACAAAGTAGTTGAACTCAGTATCTGTAAAATACTGTAATGGTTAGAGTTCAAGCTAACATTCGTTGACTGGCTGTTGTGTGCCAGGTTCTGGGTGTCTCAGGGCTTTTACATACATTTTCTGATTTCAGCTTCATAATAACTTGTAGTGGCGACTGCTGTTAACTACTGTTGGAGAAAGTGAGCCCCAGAGGACTTGGATCAGCTCATATCAGTCCAGGGGCTGTGCTGGGGGAGGCAGCCATGTGGCTGCCTGCAGCAGTGTTTGCTGACCCTCTCAGAAGATGTGTGACACACAGACTTGACTTTGATTTGGTACCTAGGAGTGGGAAATGGCCCCTTTATGGGACATAAAAGTTGACATAGATTTATTCTTTAAATTGCAGAAGAATAAAAGCATAACTTTTTTAAAATGCTGAAGAAATGGTTCTAAAGGAGCTTTAATTTTAGATCCATTTCTAAGGCACATACTGTATATGCAGGGCCACTGGCCCATAGCTTTTGACTCTGACTTTTAATAAACTAAGCTGGGTACATATGAAGTACACCATTTCCAGTAGAAGTGTACTTGTATTTTACTTTCGTGGGACGCTTAATTTTTAAAAAATATCTTCTAACCATAGGTGTTGAGCTTTAACCTCTATTCTTTGTTTTTAATCTTTGTGCCTTTCATTTAACCTCTGTTTTGAAATTGGATGTTATGCATTAAAGTGGACATTTCAGAATTGTGGACAGCTGAATATTTGTTTTGGTTATTATATTGTTTCTACACTATAATTGAATTGTATAAATGAATATAAACGAATTGTACTAGGTATAGTTTTTATGTCAGCATTTTGTATTTGATGGTATTTTCCCCATGGTGTTATTTCTCTTTATTTACATACTGCTACTTTACATTTAGTGTAACACACGCATACACACACACACACACACACACACAGGTGTTTATGCTGTCACGCTGTCTCCCTAGGTATTGAGTGCTCTTAGATACATTATTTTGTATTGTTGTACATTACAGAGTGTCATTTGGGTATACATTATCCTACCTCATTTTGTTTTGTTTTGTTTTTGGTACCAGGGATCGAACTTGGGTCATTGGGCTTGTGAGGCAGGTGGTGGAACCACTGAGCTAAATCCTTGGCCCTATCCTGGCTCATTTTGATTGCTTATAGAAGGCACTTGAAGGAATCAATTTGTGGGAGGGGAGACACAAAGAAATGAACACAGATTTAATAATTATTCCTAAGGCTTTGGCCCAGTAATCCTGAGCGAGGTGTGTTGAGAACACAGTTTTCTAGATCACTTTAAAGTGGAAAGTGGTCTTGTTGTGGGGAGTAGAGTGAAACTCTAGGGACTCAGCTGCCCTCCAGTGAGGGACTTTCTCTCTCCTGCCACAGGGGTTCACGCATACCAGAATTTGGTGAAATCTTTCTTCTGTTAATTGTCCTTCTTGTTCTTTAGACAATTTCTACATTTATTAATTCCTTTCCTGTAGTTTTAGAGTGATCTGAGAAGGCAGCTGCTCTGTGCTCAGTGTATATATGTAATAGGAAACCTGTACTTCTCTTAATTTTATGATATCTTTTCACTCCTCAGTGTTTAAAAAAAAAAATTGTTACCAAATGTGATGAGGATTTTCTCTTCCCTTTATGGGTTTTATGCCAGATTTAGGATGTAGTAATTTGGTAGTTTGAGAAGGTTATGTTTGTTCTCAACTATAGTATATTAATTGCATGGAATATTGTTCCCTTACTAAAAATGGACCAGAGGTAGAATATAAAAGTGCATTTTTGAGATCTCGATGACGCTGATGCATTGTTGCCAGTCCACAGTCTCTGAAGATCAGGGATAGTAGAAGTTATTTTCAGAAAGTAGACAAGGGTTCCTTACTGTGAAACTCAAGCCTGCTTTGGCATTGAATCATGGGTAAAGTTATATAGATTATTTGAGACTAATCTGTAAAAAAAAACCCAGTGCACATGGGGTGAACCCTTCTTAGAAGCATAACTTAGAAGAACTTGTGTTTTGGTAGTTGGGCAGTAAGGACTCTGGTTTGTTTTGCTCTGAGGCATGTAGATGGACTAGAGGTGCCCCTTAGCCCTTGTACTTAATAATCTGCTTTCTTCCCCAGATAAACAGGGGTCACATGACGACAGAAGCCAAGAGAGCTGCAAAGATGGAAAAGAAGATGAAAATTTTGCTTGGAGGATACCAGTCTCGTGCCATGGGGCTCATGAAGCAGCTGAATGACCTGTGGGACCAAATTGAGCAGGCACACTTGGAGCTACGCACTTTTGAAGAACTCAAGAAACATGAAGACTCTGCCATTCCCCGGAGGCTGGAGGTAATGTGGAGTTATGCCACACAGCCTTAACAGGAGAGCTTTAGGAGCATGGCCCTCCCCTTCTCCTGCATAGGCCGTCTTGGAAGTGGGTCTGGCAGGCTTTTACAGTGAGAGCCTCACATATGGCTAACTCAGGCTGCCTGTTTGTTCACGGGTGGACAGACAGATGATGGCAACAGGCCTTCCTTGTACCCACTTCTTTCCGCACTGTCTCTAGGTACATTGGTGAAGTGGGCAGCTTCTGTCATCTGTCCCCCTGCAGCTTAATTTCATCTCATTCATGTCCCTGTGAAGGGAAACCTAAGCAGTGTCCTTTTGTGTGGTAACTTAGGGTGCAGGAACCTAGCTGGTCACTCTAGAACTTTGGGCTCCTCTGAGTTTGTTAGGATTTCTGTCCCAGGTATGTGTGAGAGCCTCTGTCTGGTTACAGGGAGATCAGTGCTTAGGGCATCTGTGGGTTTTGATAGGACAGGAGTGGCTTGTTTGTCTGAGGTGGCAGCAGAGATTTTTATGAGGAGGTAACGTATGAGCAGAGCAGAGAGGGGCTGTAGGACTGGTTTCACAGTAGAGCATTTGCTCTGTTTTCTTTCTGGAACATCTGTCTCTTAAGAATTATGAATGAGCCGGGTGTGGTGGCACACGCCTGTAATCCCAGCACTCAGGAGGCTGAGGCTGAGGCAGGAAGATC